AGCAATTATGAGGCAAGTGAAATGGTTATTTTAAGCTAATTAAGTTTGAGTGTAGTTTGTTAGTAACAGACAACCCCCCAAAATTCATGTTAGTGCCATTAAGTAAATGAAATGAAGATCAAGAAACCCATTACTCAAGAACCAAAGTATCACTAATATTGTTTTATGTATTCATGTGTTACACCTTGCCACTATCCTGAATTTTATGACTCTTGTCAAAGTTTATCACAAATATACATATTCCTACATAATACAGTTTAGGTTTCTTTTACAGCTTTATAAAAACTGTAGCATACTGTACGTAGACTTCTGAGACTTGCTTTATCATTTTTACAATTACTCTAGGTTGTTGCATGTAGGTCATTCTCCCTACTAAACAAAATTACAAAACCTCTAATTTATTTTTTGTTGTCAGTGGTCATTTGAGTGGTTAAAAACAGAGCTGCCACGAGCACTCTTGAGGTACACAGGTCCAAGAATTTCTCTAAGGCATTTATGTAAACGTAGACTGGCTAGGGTATGTGAATGCTTAACGCTAAGAGAGAGTGCCAAATTGCTTTCTGACGAGCCTATCAGTTCAAAATCCTACCTGCAGCGTGAAAAACTGAGGCCCATCATCTTTATTGGTATTGTCATATCCTTTAATTTTTCAATCTATTGAATGCAAAATATTATTCATTATGGTTTTAATTAGCCAATCACTTAAGAGGTAAAACATCTTTTCATGTGTTCAGCCACATCCTCTGAAAATACCTGGTTTGTCTTTTGCTTATTTTTCTATAGGACAGTGATAAATAGAAGTGGTGGTCGGGTGCAGTGGCTCACGCCTGTCATCCCAGCACTTTAGGAGGCCGAGACAGGCAGATTACCTCAGGTCGGGAGTTCAAGACCAGCCTGGACAACTTGGTGAAACCCTGTCTCTACTAAAAATATAAAAATTAGTCGGGTGTGGGAGCAGACACCTGTAATCCCAGCTACTTGGGAGGCTGAGGCGAGAGAATCGCTTGAACCCGGGAGGTGGAGATTGCAGTGAGCCGAGATCACGCAACTGCACTCCAGCCTGGGCGACAGAGCGAGACTCCATTTAAAAAAAAAAAAAAAAAAATAGCACAAGAAGTGGTGATAATAGCCACCCTTATGTTCCTGATTTTCAAAGTATACAACTTGGTCATCATGCAGTTTTAGTATGTCAACGTTTATTAATAGTGCTTTTGACTTTACAAGTATAAGTGCTATTAGCCTGTAATTTTCTTTTCTCCTATTGAATGTCTCTGATTTTAGTATCAGTAAGTTATATCAACCTCACACAATATGCTGGCAAGTATTCCCTCATTAGCTATTTTTGTCTGAAAGAGCTTGTATAAAATGTTGTAATTTTACCCCCCTTGAAAGAGGGGTAAAACTTACCTTTAAACCTGTGCCAGGTCTTGTCAAAAAGTTAATTATTGTTTACTATTCAACCTATGAATAAGTATATTCAGCTTTTCTATTTCTTCTTGAGCCAATTTAAGTAAATTGCAATTTTCTGGAGTTTGGTCTATTTTGTCTAAGTTTTCAAATATATTAGCATTAAGATGTTCCTGGTAGTCACTTTTTCATCCCTGCTTTATCAATGGATTCAGACCGCTTTTTCAATCTTTACGTTGTGTCCCATTTCATCTTGTTCAATTATGCCAGTTTTACTGTTTTGTCATGAAAACAACTTTGCCATGTAATTCTTCATCATTTTCTAATTCATTGATTTATTCCCTTGCCTGTATCTTCTTGCTTCTACATTACTTTTACTATTTTCTAAGTTACACATCTAGTCTTTTCCCTTAAGCATTTAAAGCCACTTCCCTCAAAGTGCTGTTTTAGCTGTAATACCCAATTAAAAATATATATATATTACTTGCAACTAGGTTTCAAGTATTTCCTTTTTTCCTTTGTGACGATTTAAACATGTAAATGTAAGACTTTAAAAAATTTAACCTTTATTACTGACCTCCACTTGCTTCTGATTATCCATTTAATACCAATTATTTGATGTTTTGTAACTTGCTTACGCCTAAAATACATGGTCAATTTTTGCTAATATACAATGCTTAAGAAAAATATTCTCTGTTTAATACATTGTTCTAAATGTTTATTGACTCAATATTAAGAATGCTTTCACTAATTCTTTATCATTAATTAGTTGTTGAAATCTCCCATTGTTGTTCAATTTGTTGCTTCAGCCCTATTGTTGCTTCAGTTCATACATTTTGAGGCCATTTCATATGGTAAAGGCACACTGAAAATTGTTATATATACCTAGTAAATTGATCCTTTAACTATTTTTAATGGACTTCTCAATCTTTAATATCATAAATCTAATTATTTTAATATCACCAAAGCTACACGTTTTTAGTATTTACCTACTTCATTTTTAAAAAATATTTACTTTCAACCTCCTCATGTCTAATATTTTAGGTGTTTTAAAAAGCCTAGTTGGGTTTTTAAAAAAATCTGACCAATGCTATCATTTAATCGGGTAATTGTCTATTCATAATTAATATTAGACTTGTTGTTATTATCTTACTTTCTAACTTCACTCCCCCACCTCCATTATTTCTTCCTTTATTTGTACTAGGTTATTGCATACCTATTCTGTATTTTAAAGTTCTTTTCCTTTGGAATGATTCATCCCCTATCTTTTTTTTTTTTTTTTCTTTGAGATGGGGTCTCACTCTGTCACCCACACTGGAGTGCAGTGGCACGATCTCGGCTCACTGCAACTGTCACCTCCCCAGTTCAAGTGATTCTCGCACCTCACCTTCCAGAGTAGCTGGGATTACAGGCACCTGCCATCACGCCCGGCTAATTTTTGTGTATTTTGGTAAAACGGGGTTTCACTATGTTGGCCAGGCTGGTCTCAAACTCCTGACCCCAAGTGATCTGCCCGCCTCAGTCTCCCAAAATGCTGATTATAGGTGTGAGCCACAGTGCCTGGCCAATCCCCTATCTATTCTTGTGGCAGTCACCCCTGAACTCTGATTACATATATTTATTATAACATAGTCGATTTTAAGGTTAAACAGTATCTTAACCAGTTTTCTGAATAAAAGAACCTCAGAACCCTCTAATTCCAATCACCCTTCTGCCAGCCAACCGCTATTATCCAGTTTTTCAATTATATCCTTATTTAAAAATTCCACATTATTAATGTTGCATAACGTTTATTTAGTTTTACATTGGTTTACAATTTCTTATAAACACTTTTCATTATAATTGTTTTATCCAAACAGTTTAAATTTACTTATGCTAGTTTTTCAATTTCAGATCATCCTTTTAGAATCATTTTCCTTCTTGAAGATCATCCTTTTGTAGTCTCTTTCCTGAAGTTCTGCCGAGGATAACATCTGTTTTTCATCTCAGCCTGTGTTTGTTTCAGTTTCACTTGTTGCAAATTCTAAGCTAACAGTTTTTCTCAGAAGTCTACCCTCTTTTGGGTACATCGTTGCTGTTAGGAAGCCTACTAAGTATTTGACTGTCTTGCCTTCACTGATGATGATCTTTTTCTCCCCATGGTTGCTTTTAAAATTTTCTCTTTGGTATCTTATCATTTACAATACCTTGAGTCTAGGCCTGGATTTTATTTAAATATATGTTTGGTATATATTGTGCTTTCTGAAGCTATGAATTCATGTTTTTCCAACAAATTTGGAAAATTGTTTTATCTTTTCAAGTACGCCTCTCCTTCATTCTCTAAATTCTCTCCTTCTAGTACTCCTAGTCTTTATAATTCTTCCCTCAAACTCTCTTAACTTTCTAATGTTTTCTAGCTCCTTCTTTCTCCTCGCTGCTCACTGGGTAATTTTAGATCCAGCTTATAGTTCACTTGTCTCTTCAGCTGAGTCTAATAAAATATTCACCATGTCTGAGGGCTTTTTTCTTATTTCAATAAATATTTCTCATTTCTAGGAATTCTATTTCTTTTTCAGATCTGCCTGTGGTTCCAACTTCATTTCTTATGTTGGTGATGAAACCTTGAAGAACTGAGTTCAATGTTTATTTTTTCTACAGCTTCCTTGTCATGTTAGTTTGTTTCAACTTGTGCCTGTGATCTCTAGTCATAATATAACACTACTTGATAACAATCTATAGGAATCTTGGAACTAAATTAGGAATGTTTCCCTCTTGCCTCTGCCAGGAGCTACAGCACTACAAACTGAGGGCCACTGAACCTTCTTTAACTGTCCTCTCTAGGGCAGCATCTCAGATTCAGATGTCTTCTTGTTTCTGATTTGAGGCAAACTGAATATGGCAGTGTTGCTATTGGTATCTGCCATCCAGACAAGCATAGTCCACTTGTATGGTCAATACAGTATTCATGACTCCTAACTTAAAATGCATCCATTTCTTGTGGCAGAGGAAAGGTAGAAGTATAGAAGTATGGTTCTTGAAAGTTCTCCTACTTCCTGTGAACCTATTCAAAAGCAGATTTTATTCAAGATCTAGTTGTTTTATAATATCTAGTCTAACATACCTGCTGGAAGCAAAGTCTTATTTTGTATATTAAGTATACTAAAACAGTTATATAGTAACCTGAGAAAGTACATATTTTATGTCATTTCTTACTAATGGGACCTCTCTGGAAAGGTTCCCTACCCCTTGATCAGAACAAAACACACAGTATATAGGAACTGAGTGCACGTCAGAAAACTCCTAGAAGATGAGCTTATCGTAAGGTTGTTGTTTCACTTGGTAGAAATTTCTCCTGGTGCTCTATTACTAAGACGTTGCATCAACATTGACTGTTCAAATTACTATTTTTTTTTACTTTTTAAATTTACTTGTTTATTTTAGAGACAAGGTCTCATTTTGTCACCCAGGCTGGAGTACAGTAGTGCGATCATAGCTCGCTGCGGCCTCAAACTCCTGGGCTCAAGTGATCTTCCCGCTTCAGCTTCCAAGTAGTTCCAAGTAGTTGGGACTAGAGCTGCATGCCACCATGTCCAGCTAATTTTTTTTTTTTTTTCCAGTAGAGACAGAATCTCATTATGTCATCCGGGCTGGTCTCCAACTCCCTCCTAGCCCCAGGTGATCCTCCTGCCTCAGCCTCCCAAAGCATTGAGATTATAGGTGTGAGCCACCATGCCTCTGTTCAACTTTTTAATGTCCTGAATAATATGTGATTCAGATTAGTAAAACTAAAATCTTGATCATATCCCATCATTTTGAACCGTTTAAAAAATAATAATGATTTGTTACATGCAGCTTCCATCTAGATGCATAACTTTATTTCTGGAAATGTGGGCCACCTACAATGTAAAGCAGACTAAACAAGGCAGCTTGTGATTTCATTTTAATCAGAAACACATCAAATAGGCATCATGGCAGCAGATCTGGCTGCTACTGTTTTAAATACAGATGGATTAACATCTTTATTATTCATAATTATCTGTCAATGTTCTCTGGATGATCAAGAAACTCTTTGTGCCTCACCCTAATCACTGAAGTAATGAAAGGAGATACCAGCAGCAAGCACTGCAACTGTAAATGCTGCAATCACACCTAAAAGTAAAACAAACACAGAACAAATGAAAATGGAATAAGCAAAAGAAAGGCCAAACTAATCCTAGGCGCTGAAATGTGGGTAACTGATGGGCCTAAAAAACAACAATACACAAACACACAAACACACAATCTTACATACACATACATATGTATATACTAAAAGGCAGCAACATCTTAGAGAAAAACATAGCCATAAGTTGAAAAACTAGACTTCGAATGTTGGACAAAGTATCTTTCTTGCACAAATGTGCACTGAGACGTATCTAAGAGAAAAAATAACAAACACTTTAAAGGGCTTATATAAATATTTTTATTGGCATACCAGCTGTCTTATGCTACTTAGGTTAAAAAAAAAAGGCAGTTCCAGTAGGCAGCAGTTCTCAACCATTATAATGTAAAGCCACTTGTGTAACTTGTGTAGCTACTGAAAACTGCAGAAGTCCATGTTCAACCATTATAAAATCTAAGAATTAGTATGTCTAAGTTGTAACTTTTATTTTTTCCTGAATATAGTAAGCTAAAGAAAGAAAGTGGCCATAGTAGTCCAGACAGACAGACACACACACGTACAAAAAATTAATTAAATTTATCTAATGAATGACAAGAACTACAATTAAATCTTCTGGCTCCTAACTCTCAGTCAGAAGTCTTAATATTTAGTATTTCTCAAATTGTTACCCCATTAAACAATAGTCTGCATGTTCCTTGTTCAAAAAGTCTGAAAATGTTAAAATAATTCTGCATTTCTTAGAGCCTTTAAAATATAAAATTATAAAATTCCTGACTTGAATTTGACATTTTTTGTCATAGAACACACATCAAAATCTCCTGTGATAGTAATTCTAGGAATACCAGCTTGTAAAACATTAGCCCTACTATACTAACTGATTCCCAAAACTCTGCATTTTTTTCTTTTAAGAATGTTTTAAAAATTAATAGGATGTGTCATCTTTGAGGGCATTTGGATGACAATGTATGAATTATAAATCTTTCTATCTCTAGGGCCTGGCACTTTCCATAATATCCAATAAATACTGTTAAGTCTAGCAATCTTAAGAAAGCGAAATGAAATACAAAAATTTTAAAGTAACAAGAAAACTCAAATCTGTTTTCAGTGTTATCAAAGAAGTAAAATTAAATACCTATGTTTTGCTGAATTTTCAATAACATTGTAGTTTTAATTGGTTGTTTTGGTTGTTCATCATCTGTGTTGTCCAATGAAGCTTGACTATTCATAGAGGAACTCATACAAGCTGAAAGAGTATAATAATAATAAATTTCACATAAAATAAGGATTAACACATGAAACTGAGTTTTAAAGAACATTATAAAAACCATACAATCAACACCATTTTCATTCTGCTTGTTTTTTATATAATAATGAATTTGCTCATTATCAATTGTAGGTGAATTAAATTTAATAGAATATATGGCAAATTGACAGTTTTCAAAACAATGTAGCTTTATCATTGAACTAAATCAGAGGGCCACACAGCCAGTTCTGAATGACTTTCAAAAATTGTAATTTGTTGGTCAGGCGTGGTGGCTGACGCGTGTAATCCCAGCACTGTGGGAGGCTGAGGCAGGCAGAGTGCCTGAGCTCAGGAGTTCAAG